CCGTGGTGTCCTCCCATGTACTCCATTCTTGTTTAATGTTTTCCTTATTGTAGATGTGTCAACAAAAATGTTAGCATGTGACAGAGATTTCTGTAGGTCTTTAGCTGACACTCTGGGATTCTTCTTTACCTCATGCAGCATTCTGCGCTGTGCTCTTGCAGTCATTTTTATAGGACGACCGCGCCTAGGGAGAGTAGCAACAGTGCTAAACTTTCTCCATTTGTAGACAGTCTGTCTTACCGTGGACACATGAACCTCAAGGCTTTTGGAGATACTTTTGTAACCCTTTCCAGCTTCATGCAAGTCAACAATTCTTAATGGTAGATCTTCTGAGAGCTCTTTTCTGCGAGGCATGGTTCACATCAGACAGTGCTTCTTGAAACCAGTAAACCCAAAACAGGTGTGTGTTTTTTAAGGGCAGGACAGCTGTCAGCAACACATCCAATATCATCACACTGATTGGAGTCAAGGTTGGCTCACTCCTGGCTCCAATTAGCTCTGGGAGAAGTCATTAAGCTAGGGCCTCACATACTTTTTCCTCCCTGCACTGTGAATGTATACATGTTATGTGCAATTAAACCACGGCAACATCTAATGTTTGTGTAGTATTATGTTCAGCAGACTGTGTTCTTCTATTGTTGTGACTTAGATGATGTTCAGAGCACATTTTATGCCCAATTCATGCAAAACTCCACGTAATCCCAAGGGGTTCATATACTTTTTCTTGCAACTGTATATATATATATATATATATATATATATATATATATATATGTATATATATATACCTCGGTTTACAAATTTAGTTTGTTCTCGTATTCAGAAAAATTTGTAAACCGAAATGCTGTTTCTCATAGGAATGCATTGAAAATCAATTAATCCATTCCGGAGGTCAGAAAAAAGTAAAAAAAAAAAAAGTCTTTTATCTGTTCAAAACTCTTTATAAAGTGCACTTTAAAACCTTCCCGCCCGACCTATAGCACATTGATATAAATATATGATATAAAATCGTGGCGCTAATCAAAAGCATATGATCATAAAATCGGTTAATCAGAAAAATTCCAATAAAATGCCCAAGCGAAGTTCCCACGATCCACCATCACCAAAACAATGGTTCAGCCTCTTTCCAGAAATTATGACCGAAACCCACCGGTCAATATACGCAGCTCAAATAGGGGGTGAATATTTGCAGATATTGAAACTGGCAATCCTCACCGAGATAGATTTCAATCTTCCTCTCAAAAAAATCACCGTTTATTACAAGTTACTCGTACATTGTATTGGATGGTTACCAGCATTTGAACTAAGTTTCCAACCAGTAAAATGGCCGCCCTCCAAAACATGATGATGTCACACGCCCAAGCTCCACCGATGGGTTTCCTCATCCAGTTGACATCATCAGGGGCTTGAGCAGATTGATGGCCGGGCGGGATACTCACCATTGTGACTGGGCGTCATATGATGTCCTGTCAAAACAAGCCACTCATGAGGCCGCGGGAACACGCAGAGACATGGTGTGTCACTGGCTGTGTTCACGGGACACAGCCGAAGACATATCACTACACTGGCCCGTTGCCAGTGTCATGTGACCGCTGTGACCAATCACAGCAGATCACATGTCAATTGTATACAATGGATAGCTTCTTGTCATGCTATCCATTGTATACAATTATGTTGTTAGCTGTGACTGATCAAGGCAGTCACATGATACAGACAGGGCCAATCACAGCCCATCTGTATCATGTGATCCGCTTTGCACAATCACAGCTAATCACTACAAAAGACTGAATGAATCCGTGTCATTCAGTAACAATGATTGCAAATATCAATGAATTACATTGGTATTAGAAATCATAATGTGTTAAAAGAAAAAAATCCTGATCACTTGCCCAGAGTAGTTCAATGTTACTATGGTAACATTGTATTGCTTTGGTCACAGTGTGCTGAAAAATAAAATAGTAACAAAAAAGAAAAAATGTAATAAAAAATAATAGAAACATTTGAAAAAAAAAAAATACAAATTCAATTATTATTATTATTTTCACAAAAGAAATGTAGCAGAATACATTTTGACCTAAATTTATGAATACATGTTATTTATTTGCAAAATTTTATAACAGAAACGAAGAAAAGTGCATTTTTTTTTCAAAAGTTTCAGGTGTTTTTTATTTTTATTTAGCAAAAAATAAAAAACTCAGTGGTGATTCAATACCACCAAAAGAAAGCTCTATTTTTGTGAAAAAAATGATACAATTTTCATATGGGTACAGTGTTGCATGACCGTGCAATTGTCATTCAAAGTGTAACAGTGCTGAAAACTGGCCTGGACAGGAAAGGGGTATAAGTGCCCGGTATTGAATTGGTTAACTACTTGCCGCCCAGCCACTGTACATATACGGAGGCAGGGCGGCACTCGCAGGCAAAACCACGTTTTAAAACGTGTGTTTTGTAAACAAATAGGGGGCGCGCACGAGGCGCGCCGCCGCCCTATCTGTCCCGCCGATCACCGCCGCAGATGTCAGTCGCCGGGTCACAGCCGGTCCTTAGCGGCTGTTTCCCGGCGATCGGCGGCAAACAGTGACAGACAGAACAGCTGCAGTAGCTGTGTTGTCTGTCACTTCCCTGTCAGCTCGAGGATGAGCTGATCGAGAAAGAACAGTTTCTCTTTCTGGATCAGCCTTGTCCCGTCCAGCACACACACCCCCCGCCCCCTAGTAAAACACTCCCCTCACTCCTATAACCCTTCCCTGAAAAATAAAGTTAACCCCTTCCTCCCCAGTGCCATTAGTACAGTGTCAGTGTTTTTTGTTTTTGCACTGATCACTGTATTAGTGTTTTTGGGGATGTCAGTGACCCCAAGTCAGTACCCCCCCAATGTCAGAATGTCTGCCGCAGTCCCGCAGTCCCGCCATAAGTCGCTGGTCGCTGCCATAAGCCCCTGATCGCCGCCATAATTCGCTGATCGCCGCCATTATTAGTATAAAAAAAAAACCCTAAAAATCCCAGTATCTTTCCCGCCATTTGTAAACGCTATAACTTTCACGTAAACCAATTAATTTACACGTTTTGGATTTTTTTTTAGCAAAGACATGTCGCAGAATGCATTTTGGCAGAAATTTATGACTAAATTTGATTTTTGCATTTTTTTTTACTGGACATGTTTTATAGCAAAAAGTCCAAAATATTGTTTTTTTTTCCCTCAAAATTTTCAGCCTTTTTTTTTTATAGCGCAAAAAATAAAAAACCGCACAGGCGATCAAATACCACCGAAAGAAAGCTCAATTTGTGGGAAAAAAAGGATGTAAATTTCATTTATGTACCATATTGCATGACCGCGCAATTGTCCGTTAAACTAGCGCAGCGCTGTATAGCAGAAAAATTGCGTAAATTGCAGTATCTATACCATAGTTTGTAGACGCTATAACTTTCACACAAAGCAATCAATATACACTTATTGGGATTTTTTTTACCAAAAACATGGAGCGGAATACATTTTGGCCTAAATTTATAACCAACTTTGAGTTTACGATATATTTTTTATAGCTGAAAGTAAAAAATATTGTTTTTCTTCCAAATTTTTGGCCTTTTTTTGTTTATAGCGTGAAAAATAAAAAGCGCACATGTGATTAAATTACACCAAAAGAAAGCTCTATTTGTGTGAAAAAAGGACGTGAATTTCGTTTGGGTGCAGCATTGCATGACTGCGCAATTATCAGTTGAATTAGTGCAGCGCCGAGTAGCAAAAAGAGGCCTGGTCAGGAAGGGGGGTAAATCCTCTGGAGCTCAAGTGGTTAAAGGCATAAATACTAGGGACATGATTTAAAAAATCTGTAAATGCATTTAAAACCAATTAATCTGTTCGTATTGCAAAGAAAAACTTGTAAACCGAGGCATTATTTTAAATGGATTTTCATTCGTAAACAAAAAATTACGTTAACTGAGGCGTTCGTAAACAGGCAGGTATGGTATATACATAATAGATAGATTGGGCCAAACTGGACCAACATACTGAAAGCATGGTGTCTGCAGAGAACATGATCCTGAGAGTACTTATGACCCTGGGTAGAGCAGAGATTGTAGGGAGATGGCTGTGAGATTCTGCAAATGCTTTCACCTGTGACTACTGCAGACCATCCACTTTTTGTGACTGAATGTATTTCGAGTTGCAACATGCGATACCTGAAATTATTCTTTAACTGTTCATAAAATGATCAACGTGTTTCAGGGGCCAAACTCTCCCTTCATTAGGGCTACAAAATAAATACAAATTATACATTTAAAGCTCAACTCCAGGAAACTTTAAAATGATTTGCTTGTTTAGACATGGAGCCATTCACACCGGTGCGTAAACATGCACTGTATTCAGCTCAATAACAGAAAATCCAAAGATCTGTGTCTGAGAACATATGTATACAGGTATACCATTGAAAAAAAGAACAGGAGAATTTTTACGCATTAATAAACGGATTTACTTCCTGATCATTTACGCACTTTTGTACCTTTCCTTAATGATCAGTAAAATTTTTCCGGCTGTTGTTACAGCCATGTGAATGAGATCTTAAAGTGTTTTTGGACTGCTTCACATTTTAGTTTGGTGCTCGTGATTTTTATATATGCTTTGAGCCACATCCTGTGTCCCTACTTAAGGAGAACCTTGTTTTATGTGAGCAGCCTTATCAGATCTAGTCAACTTGTGGAAAGATTATGGTCCTTCCATTTTTTGGAATGGATGGGAGTCAAAAACCCAGTGAGTAGGCAGGTGCAGTTAGCCACTTTTACACTAGGTGGCTCTGTACCAGAAAAGTGTCTTTGACAGCAGGTAGTGTCACCAGGTGTTAGGCCCCGTTTGGGCACCCTTAGGAGTGAGTCAGCACCCATATATATTCTGGGAAGGAACGCAGTAGACTTGTGGGGTGTATGTGTTATGATCCGCCAGGTGGTACCTCTGGCAGCCCACCAGACAGGATTACCCAGAGCGTGGAGTCTAAGTCCCGGTCTGCGTATTCACCAGGGCCCCTGATGGTGGGGATGGACTTGAAGCAGACCAGGATCAGGTCACGACCTCTGAGCACTCCCATCCGTGGAAGAGGGGACCACAGGGGATGGATACAGGAGGAGAGCCTGATGTGAAGAGACCGGCAGGCCCAGGCGGGATGGATGGATGGATCGCAGTCAGACAGGCCTGTCGTTACCGTGGGAGCAGCGAGGTACAGAATCGGTAGGCAAAGGATAGTTGGGTCACACGCAGGGTCAATACCGGGGTGGTCAGTCCGCAGAGAGGTAAGATAAGCCAGGGGTCAGGATAGGAGAAGGCAGCGTAGTCAGGGCAATCCAGGTCAAAACAGGAGAAGGCAGTGTAGTCAGGGCAATCCGGGTCAAAAACAGCAAGAGAACTCAGGGTACAGGAACACAGGTAGCAGGAAAGACCTTGCAGCAATTTGTGACAGTGCAGGGCATCTTTTAAAATACCGCGCCCTGCACTGTTATTGGTTGCCCAGCGTGTACTCGCGGCGCCTACTGTGCATGCACGAGTCTCCTTCAGCCGCGGCCGGCCGGGACCTAGTGCCGTATCCCGGCTCGAGCCGCCGCGACTGCGCATGCAGAAGTAGCTGGCTGTAGTCACTCTGTCTCCTATGGAGGTGGGAGTTAGGGTATCACGTACCTGGTGATGGAGGCCAATGGAGAGAGGGCTTCCCTTTTGGCTAAGTTCCGGACTCCCCTGAGAGTGGGACAGCGGGAGTCAGGCCCAAAGTTGCACAGCTCGCCTGTAGGAGTGCTTGTCGGTGGTCCACTCAGAAGCACAGCTGGTGCACGGAGATGAGGTCTGCAGACAGGAGGCGCCTGTGCGTGGTTTGCAAGCCCTTCCGGGATTTAGATGTTTACTGGGTAGTCGGTTCAAGCCAAGGTCAGGTACAGGTGGGAATCAGAGCAGACGTAATCAGATGGGATAGCCGAGGTCATACACAGAGGAGCGAGAGAGAGAGTATCCGTAAGCCATGCCAAGGTCAGATCAGGGGTAAGTCAGAGTAGACAGGTCCAGGAGCAAGCCGAGTAACAGGAAATCACAAGTCAGAATCACGGGAACCAGAAACAAGGCACGGGGAGCTAGAGATCATCCAGCAACCAGAGGAAGTGATGTACCTCCTTATAAAGGCCGTCTGGCACCAGACAGGCTGATGTGTCGTTCTGCGGCCATGTAAAGTATTGGCAGAAAGGCCAGATCTTCCAGAATCTCTGCCATGGACAGGACCATGACATAGGGTGGACAGCAAGAGGCCTTTTAGGCCATATGGGGCTGCTTCCATGGAGGGTTCCCGGGAGAGATGTACCCAGCTAGGAGGTATCTGCAGAGAACACTGATCTGTGAGTACTGACCCTGGGCAGAGCAGAGACTGTAGAGAGATGGCTATGAGATGCTGCACGTGCTTTCACCTGTGACCACTACAGATTGTCCACTTTATGTGATTGACTTGTCAAGTGTCTCCGGATTGTATGTCCTTGTGATGTGACCATCTTGGCAGAACAACACCAGTAAAGAGCAGTGAAGTTATTTATTATGTGGACATTCCTTCATTAGATATAAAGGTCTATGGCTGGGAATGTCGTGAAGAGGTCTACAGCAAGGAGCCGGGCACAAAATGGTGGTGGGTTTGGCTTTAGCATGTGTTCTAGCAGGGCTGGGGGTGGGGGGTAGGGACTGCTTGGGTGCCAAAACTAGCCAACCACGAAACTCCTCTTGCAAGCGCCTCTTGGATATAACATTTTGAAACAGACATCCAACTGCCATATGATCGTTCTGCAAATGTCTCCACATCTTCACACGCATGTTTATGTTTTAAACAGACGTACTGGTCTTAGCCTCAGGGAAACGGTGACATTTGTTCATGAAAATCTTTTTTTTGCGTGTTTTTTTGTTTTTTCTGTGATCAGTCTTGCCGAAAGGTGTCTGCAGAGGTTAGAGCGTGCCAACAGACGTGCAGTCATTTCCCGACCCTTATAAGTAGAATTGGATGGCGGTCATTGCATGTCTGTGGGTAGCTTAGATTTTGGAACTTTCCTAATGGTGTGTCCTGGCCACATGCTGTCCTGTGGCTGTGCTGATCAGATCTGTCAGACACATGTCATGGATACAGAGGGAAGAGCTGGGGACCTTAACCCAAACACTGTTAGTGGGAACAGCTGTCTGCAGCTAATTTCGGCAAAAATCCCAACTCATAATGACATTTCTATCACAGAGAGAAAAAAGAACTCAAATTTGGAAAATAATTTGTAAGGAGCTGTTGATCCAGCTAAGGCTCCATTCATCTGGTTGGCTCGCCATTGGGCCAATAATGCTTTTTCTTAGTGTGTACTTGTGCCACCTGCTGATCTGGATAGGAAACTGCACACTTAAATGCTGTCCATTGCACTGGGCCAGCTTAAAGAAATGTATGTGTATGTGATACCTGATTGACCTCCACGAAAGCTGTAAATCACTGTAATAGCCCAGTCTTTTGGCTGCACACTGACCACACTGACAGCCTGCAGCTGAGGCTCCTTTTATCTAGCAAGCTGACCACCATTGTCCTAAGTACTCAAACACAGAGGAGCATGACAGTCTCAGAGCTGTTTCCTTTAAAGACATGTGAGCAGTGGCAGGCCCCATATTTCATGACACATCCCTACTGAAATTATCTAAACCAGTGGTCTCAAAACTGCAGCCCAGGGGCCAGATGAGGCCCTTTGTCTGCCTTTATCTGCCCCTTGGGGATCTAATCCATTAACTGGCACTAATGATGGAGCACCAATTCCAATTATTCCCAATGGCCAAAAATATAACAAACATTTTTGGCCATCATACAAAAGTACTCAAACACAGAGGAGCATGACAATCTCAGAGCTGGTTACTTCAAAGACATGTGAGCAATGGCAGGCCCCATATTTCATGACACATCCCTATTGAAATTATCTAAACCAGTGGTCTCCAAACTGCAGCCCAGGGACCGGATGTAGCCCTTTGTCTGACTTCATCTGGCCCTTGGGGCACTACTCAAAGTGACACCAATGATGGAGCACTGATCCCTCTACTAACACCAGCAATGAGGCATTATTCTTTTCATTGATATCAACAATGGAGCACTATTCCTTCCATTAAAACCAATGATGGGGCATTAATGCTGGGTCATTAAATACTCCCAATGGCCACAGTCTGGCCTCCCTAAATCATGAAGGACAGTAAACTGGCCCTTTGCTTAGAAAGTCTGAAGACCCCTGATCTAGACCAACCTTTCTCAACCAGGGTTCCTTGCAACCCTAGGGTTCCTCCAGAGATTACTAGGGGTCCATTAAGCAAGGAGGAATGTCTATCATTCAAATAAGTTGCTACTAAAACCAATGTTTTTTTTTAGCTATGAGTAAGAGGAGGATTATTCCCAATGACCAAAAATATAAGGAACATTTTTGGCCATCATACCAAAGTACTAAAACACAGAGGAGCATGACAATCGCCAGAGCTGGGTCCTTCAAAGACATGGGAGCAGTGGCAGGCCCCATATTTCATGACACATCCCTATTGACATTATCTGAACCAGTGGTCTCCCTGAAGCCCAGGGGCCAGATGAGGCCCTTTGTCTGCCTTTATCTGCCCCTTGGGATCTAATTCATCAACTGGCACCATTGATGGAGCACCAGTCCCTCTACCAACACCATCAATGGGGCATTATTCTTTTCATTGATACAGTATCAACAAAGGGGAACTATTCCTTCCGTTAAAACAACGATGGGGCATTGATGCTGTGGCATTATGTACTCCTACTGGCCACAGTCCGGCCCCCCTAAAGGCTGAAGGACAATAAACTGGCCCTTGACTTAGAAAGTTTGGAGACCCTTGTTCCTAACCATCCTTTCTCATCCAAGGTTCTGTGGAACCCTAGGGTTCCTCCAGAGATTACTAGGGGTTCATTGTGAAACAAGCAATTTCTGCCACTTAAATAAGTTGCTACTGAAACCAATTATTTTTTAGCTATGAGTAAGAGGGGGATTATTCCCACTGACCAGAAAATATAAGGAACATTTTTTGCCATCACACCAATGTACAGTGAGCTGCAGATGCAGTCATTTTTAGCTGGTGTTTCCTGCGACTAGGACTTATTTCTCCAGATTAAAAAGTTTGAGAAAGGCTGAAGACAAATAGAACAGTGGTCTCCGAACTGCAGCCCTGGGGCCCTTTGCTTGCCTTTAGCTGGGGCACTATTCCTCCACTGATTCGAGACAATGTTCTACCAACTAACATCAAGAATGGGGCACTATTTCTCCCACTGACACCAACAATTAGGGCACTATTCCTCCCAAAGATACCAATGGTGGGGCACTATTCCTCTCCCTAATATTAACTGTGGCAATGTTTAATCCCACTGCTGCCAGGAAAATGTCCATACCCACTGGCCACAGACCCCCCCCCCCCCAGAGTCTGAAGGACAATAAACTGGCCCTTTGTTTGGAAAGTTTGAAGACCCATGAAATAGAATTTTACTTCTTCTATAATACTCTTCATCTAGTAAAATGAATTAATAAAATAAAGAAATAATAAGTGAGCGCTTTATAAAATTTGAGCAGCTAGGCACACAGGATAACCAACAAAAATCCTCACAAGTTATATATAAAAGTGCAGCGCTAAAACTATATAAAGTTGTCATACATATATAAATATCACAATAGGTAAATGTGAGTAAAAATAGTCCCAGCAAAGGTGACTTGGAGTAAAAGTGCACACTAACCAGATGTGCACATTAAAAGTGCAATGTAGAGATCATAAGGCTCATGGGGTAATCATCAGAATGGAAATGGTGTTCCCTTGGTCAGAGAAGATCCCCGGGTGGTGCAGAGCTGGGCAGGAAGAAAAGCAATTTTTTCCCAGATACGTTTTTTGCCCAGTGGAGGAGTCGTGTTTCTTCTGGTGGATCAACGTTCGTTCTGTTCCCTGTTATCAAGAGGTTTTCTTCCTGCACCATTTCCATTCTGATGATTACCCCATGAGCCTTATGATCTCTACATTGCACTTTTAATGTGCACATCTGGTTAGGCGTACTTTTACTCCAAGTCACCTTTGCTGGGACTATTTTTACTCACATTTACCTATTGTGATATTTATATATGTATACTTTATATAGTTTTAGTGCTGCACTTTTATATATAACTAGTAAAATGAATTGGTTGTTCAGTGATGTAAAAGGTCCACACCACTGAAGGAACCAGGGAACTCTGGAGAGGAAAGTACACCAACAGAGGCCTTGAGATGTATAGGAAGCCAATTAGTGATTCACTTTGCTGACATCTACCCAAAAACAAAATCTCATTTCTGGGTGGAGTGACTCTTTACGTAGCACACTGTGAACTAAGTTTAAAGTGAGCTCACTGACAGAACGCAGGTCGCGGTTTTCAACA